AAAGGGTGAAGGAAGATGCCACGTGTGTTGGAGAGGGCAGGTAGCCTCTGGACTCAGGGATCTACGGACTAGGAAAGAAGTATTTAGGAAGAAAGGGTGACGAAGGAAACCATAATATGCCTTCTGTGAGCCGAGAGTTCTGAAGCCACGACTGTATCTTGTTCCTACCCATACCCACAGCGTGTAGCCGGAAGATGGCAAGGAGGTGGTAAGAACCTAATGAATGAATGAATAAATGAAGAGAGTACAGAAGTTTGGGGTCAGCCAAGATGAGACATCTTTAGCATGAGATTTGGGGCTTAGTTTAAGACTATGGCCGCTGAGTCCCATCTAAAGAGAAGGAAGGTGGCACAGGTGAGTAGGGGGAACCTACATAGTCAAGGGAGTCCATTTGGGTCCCCACCCCAAAGCAGCAGATGTTACAGTCGATCCTTCTGATTCGTAGCCCTGGGGATTGAGTGAAGGGTGAGTCTCACACCAAATGCTGGGTCATTTCAACTGGGGCCCAGTGGCTGTAGAGGCGAGATAGGGTTGAGTGAGAGGAAGTTGAGGGGGATGTCTGTGAACTGCCAGGGGCCGGGGCAAGGGAGGAAGGGGCTCTGCAAGGCGCGGTATCTCGGGGAGAAGTGGGTGCGGGGAAGCGTGACGTGACTTTAGGAGGCTGGCAAGAGGGGGTAGGAGTCTAGAGAGAGCTGGGGGGTGAGTAGAGAGGACAGGAGAGGCGGTCAGAACAGAGACAAGGACACATGAGACTAGCAAAAGAGAAGAGGCTCTCGTGTGTGCGAATGTGTGACTTAGTGAGTGTGAGAAAGTGTCAACATGTATGCACGTGTGCCCACACGTGAGAACACAGGAACCCCTCCCTGAACCCAACCTCTATGCTCTGAGCCTTAAAATTTGCATTTGTTTTTCCCCTGGGGCAAAAAAAGATTGCATTGAACTTGGAAAAGGTTATTTGCAGCGATGAACACAGAGCAGCTGGAGTCCGGGAGAGAGACAGCGGGAGGGCGACAGAATGAATGAATCAACAATCGGATGGGAATTTACACGCATTCCCTCGTGAATGAGTGGAGGGTCCAAGACTCCCTGCCTCAGCCTGGGAGCCCGCACTCCTGGGACTCCAGAAGATTCCTGGAATGTCTGTAGCAGAAACCCCACCCCGCCCCCTAGATGGATCCCCGGCCTCAAACTGAGACGCCCCCGTCGGACCAGTTTCCGGGAGGGAATCCGGGGAGGGCGGGGACCATCTGAGCACTCGAGCCCTCCCTGGCCAGGCCCGGGGCCCCCAGACTGGGTGGAGCAGCCACACCTGCCCGAAGTTCTGAGGAAGAGGGCGGAAACAGCCGCCAGCCCGCCCTCGCGATAGGCTCTGCGGGCCCCTGCGGTCGGCTGCACGGCCGCCCGCGGCTCCCACACTGCCTCACTTCCCTAAATGGGCAGCTTCGCTTTCAGAACGCCAGGTCCTTCCCTGGCAGACGCAGGTGACACGTCCTGCGTCTGGAGCGCCGGCTGGATGGGGGCCTGGCCCCCTCGCTGCTGCTACTCCTGCTGGTGCTGCTTTGGCCGCAGGGCTGCCTCCCAGGTGAGAGAAGGGCCGCCTGGGAGGCGGGCAGGAGCGCCGCGCCTTCTCCCGTGACCCTCCCTGCTGTCCCTGGCCCCTGTTTCATTTAATGTTCGCTGGGTTGGGGTGGAGGAATAGGTTGAGGCTGACATGAGAGCGCTTTACCAAGGACCAATGGGGATGTTCTATCCTTAGACCTGGCTCGGGGCCAAACTGACCCAGCCGCACAAGCCCAGATAAAACTCTGGACCCCTCTGCACTGGCCCCTCTATCTGCGAGGCTTCATTGGGGCCTCGAACCAGAGACATTCACGTTCTGCACACAAGTAGCCTCCTGGGGTTGGCCTTTGTGGGGAAGGCCCTGTTTGGATGCCACTGGTTCTGATGGGAGTTGTTGCATCATGTGTGTGTGCTTTGAACTCACTTTTTCTCGGAATGCTGATGCCACATCCGGTCCCTGCCCCTGTCTTGGGGCACCAATCCCTGAAGGCCTTTCCCACTTCACAGCTACTAGTGCTCCTTGAAGGAGCCTCACCCATTCCTGCCTCCCTCACTGCCATGGCAACCACATTACCACTTCCTGCTGGGTCCTGGGCATGGTGGGGGTTGGCAAAACCCACTGTCCTCCACCAGTGAAGGGTGACAGATGTAGGCACATAGGAACAGTCCCCTGGAGGCTCACCCCAAGGTGCTGTTCCCTTACTCAGCTATAGAGGCACTGGGCTGGACACTGGACAGGTGGCTCAGGTTCTGGGCCCTTCATACTCACAGCCTGGGTTCCACTGGGGAAAAGAACGCATGTGTTGAGTTCCTACTGTGTTCAAGGCACCCTCCGGGGGCATGATTCTCCCCAGAACCTGTAGCGGAGTGATCTCGTTCCCATTTGACAGGTAAAGAGAGATGTTAAGCCATACTCATACAGTTAAGTGGCAGGACCAGGGTTTGAATGCACGTTTTTTTAGAATCCCAAATGCTGCTCTCTGTTCTGCCCTACTGGGGAGAAACCTTTCACATGTGGGTTTGTGGAAGGCTCTGGGTGAAATTATTAGAGGAGTGACTGCCGAGCTACCTCCCCTGGTGGAGAGGTAGCGGGACCCCGCTGCAGGTTCTTCTGCCCTGTCCCCCAAGTCACCCCTGTTCCTAGTTCTGCTCTCTCCCCAACGACTGTGGATCATGATGGGCACTGACCGTGTCCTACACCCAGGCAAAGAGTACGAGATATTGCACACAAACAGGGCATAGTTATAGACTCCTCTGGAGTTTATGTGTGTGCTTGGACATTCTTAATCTATGGGTTTTCTGTAACTAGGATATTTAAAAATGAAATACCACCTAGAATGAACTAAGGCAGCTTGCCATTTAAAAGATGACTACAGTGAACTTATTTGTAAAATGATTGACTACTCAGTGCTTTTTCAAATACTGGATTTTCTTACCTACCTAAGTCATCTGTCTCTGAAATTTCAGAATGCAATGACATGTTTGTGTCTGCATTTTGTCTCATTGAGGATGGGACCTAGGTCTTCCCTGCAAGACTAGGAATCCCTGAAGATGGGGCTATCGCTGTCCCATCAGACTAGGAAATACGGTGACGTAAGAGGCTGGCAGATGGAGCTCTGAGTGTAAGTGCCAGGTTTGCCTTGTTAGACAGGAGCTCCCTGAAGAAGAGACCTATGTCCCCCTATCATCCTGGAGCTAGCTGTCAGCAGGTATGTGTGTCTCCACAGGACTGTGGGGAGTTCCCTGAGGGTAGGGCTGTGTTTCTCCCTCAGGCTGTGATCTCTGGGACTACAGGGCAATATCCCCCTCTTCTCCTTTTGCCCCCAACTTCAAGTTTAAGGTGCCTTCTCCCTCCTCTCTCACCAGACCTTGCTCAACATGTCATGTCTCCTCAGGTGCCCCTGCTGAGAACGTGTACACCAAAGTGCGGCACTTGGAAGGGGAGACTCTGTCTGTGCAGTGCTCTTACAAGGGCCGCAAAAATCCCGTGGATGGCAAGGTTTGGTGCAAAATCAGGAGGAAGAGGTGTGACGTGGGTTTCACCCGGATCTGGGTGCAGGGTCCCCGCTACGTGCTACAGGATGATGTTAAAGCCAAAGTGGTCAACATCACCATGAGGGCCCTTACGCGCCAGGACTCCGGCCGATACTGGTGCATGCGCAACAGCTCTGGGATCCTCTACCCCTTGATGGGGTTCCAGCTGGAAGTGTCTCCAGGTGAGGGGCCTGCTGGGCCACTGGGGTGGGTGTCCTGCATTTCTCTAACCTCAGACACAATGAGACTACTAGTCCACCAAAGAGGATGTGGCACCATCGGGTTTCCAAAGTCCTTTTACAGACATCTTACAGGTGTTATTTTCACCGTTTGTAGTTGAAGAAACGGAGCTCTACAGAGCTCTGAGTGGCTCTGACCTTGTCCAGGGTTGCAGACCTAGCAGGTAGCTTAGCAAGATGCAAACTCGTGCTCTCAGTACCTTGTTTTATTCACTCCTCTGTTCAACACAGATTCATCGAGCCCCTCGTAGGTGCCAGACGCTATCCTAGGCTCTGTGGATACACTGGTGAGCAAAAACAGACACAATCTTGGCCTACAAGAGATGCCGGGCAACTACACATCATCCAGCTGAATAATTGCAGATAATAATGAATGTTCTTAAGACAATAAAATGGGGCCAGCTGATAGCATAGTGGTTAAGGTGGCTGGATCCCCCATGGCCGACTCAATGGTTTGAGTTCTGGATCTGGTTTGAAAAACACTCCAGGTGCATGTGCATGCATGTCCAAATTCCCAAGAAGAGAATGAAGGAGAAGGGTTTGTGGTGTGGCCATCCCTCTGGGGAATGCTGTCTCACTTTCTCTCCTCCCCCCATGTCTTTGTCTCTCTTTGGAGAGTACATGTGGCCTACAGCAAATTAAAAAAGAGAGAGAGAGAGGGAGAGAATAATTCCATGACAGGGGGAACTTCTGGAGCTCTCTGAACAGATGACATCAAACAGAGTCTGAATAGTGGGCGTTCTCTAGCCCTGCTGAAAGCTGGGTACTTGAAGGGCATTCCGTGGAGAGAGCTGTGTGCGCAAAGACGCTGAGGTGAGAGGGAGGATTGCCGGTGTGGTGTCTGCATTGAGTAGGGGCGGTGGTTGTTGAGGTTTGAGAGTAAACAGCAGCCCTGATGTCTCCATGATCTGGAGTTTGGGTTTTATTCTCAGTCCACTAGGAAACCACTGGAGAGTTTTGTTGTTGTTGTTTTAAGGTTTTTGCCATAGGGCACATGTACTCACCAGAAAGAGAGAGAGAGAGAAAGAGACAGTGAAAGGGAAAAGTGAGAAATCACCTCCCAGGGAGGATGGACACACAACCATCCTTTGTCCTCCATTCTCTTTCTGGGATTTAGGACACACATATGCCTGCTTTGATTTTCACGCTGCCAGATCCAGGGCTTGACCTGCAGTCGGCCATGTGGGAATCCAGTGCCTTAAGCACCATGCCACCTGCTGGCCCCATCTACTGGAGTTTTAAGAGGTGTATGTGGTTTGTTTTTGAAACTATAATGGGAGGATGGGTTGTAGAAGGGTATGAGCAGAGGCAGAGAGACTAGGGTGTGCACCTGACTGGAAATAAAAGTGGCTTTAGTGTAGGATATAAGACTCAGACCGTGCCCTGGAGGGAAGTGAAGCGAAGGGGCTCAGATCTGTGTTTTCAGACTTCCCGTTTACCTGTAGGTTTTGGAGTTAGGACAGGATTTGTTCAAGCAGGAGGTGAGGAAAAGAGGAGTTAGGGATGACGCCTGAGCTTCCTGTTTCCTCAGTAGGTAGATGATGGGACCACTTAGTAGGTAGGGAGAGAGGAGCCAGTGCAAAGTGGAAAGTCAGAAGTGGTCCTTTGTTATGATGAGTTTAAAATGTCTCCTAAACCACGAATGGAGCAAAGCAGTCTGTTTGTCCATCAGCCTGGAGCTCAAGTCAGAGGTCAGAGTGGGGGAGGTATTTGAAATGATCTCTCTTAAGGTAGTATTTAAAGTAAAGGGGAGGGGCCAGCAGGTGGTGTGGTGGTTAAGGTGCTGGCCTCCCACATGGCCAACTGTGGTTTGAATCCAGACCTGGCAGCTTGCTTTCTTACTATCGCTCTCTCTCTCTCGCCCTCTCTCTCTCTCTAGTGAGTACATGTGCCCTATATCAATCAAAAAATAATAAGATTAAATAAAACTAAATAATTCTTAAAAATAAAAGTAAAAGGGATTAGGGAAATCTAAAGGACACAAAGCAGATTAGTGGTTGGTTAGGGTTGGGAAGGAAGGGGAGAAGTGGGTAACAGCAGAAGCGTAAGGAATTACTTTCCCAGGTAATAAAGATGTTCTAGACTTGACTGTAGTGGTAGTTGCACAACTTTGCGGATGCATTACAAACCACTGAATGTTATAGTATAAGTGGGTGTAGTGTATAGCATGGGAATTATATCTCAGTAAATGTTAAAAATAAATAAATAAAAAGCCAAGGAAGTATAACACCCTCCCGAGTATAGAAAAAGAAGAAATGAGACAAGAACTGAGCGGCGAGTTTATAAAATAGGAGGAGTGAGGAGCCAGCAGAACAGCAGCCAGGCCAGCCAGTAGCATGGAGTTAAGGAGGCTGGATCCCACATGGCCAGTGGTATGGTTTGAGTCCTGGACCCAGTGGCTTGAAAAACATGCTGGGTGTGCCCAGAGTCCTAACAGGAAGGAGAGATGGAGGAGAAGGGATTGTGGTATGACTACCCCCAACGGGGGGGGTGCTTTCTCTCTCCCCCTTCTCTTTCTCTCTCTGTGGCAAGTGCATGTACTCTCTAGCAAAAAAATATAAAAAATTGTAAAAACTGCAAATGTTATGAAATGTACTAGCCGGTCTTCCCTGTTCCCCCCACCCAGAGTCCTAACAGGAAGGAGAGATGGAGGAGAAGGGATTGTGGTATGACTACCCCCAACGGGGGGGGTGCTTTCTCTCTCCCCCTTCTCTTTCTCTCTCTGTGGCAAGTGCATGTACTCTCTAGCAAAAAAATATAAAAAATTGTAAAAACTGCAAATGTTATGAAATGTACTAGCCGGTCTTCCCTGTTCCCCCCAACTGGACTGCTTAAAAACTGCCAATGTTATGCTATGTACTAGCCGGTCTTCCCTGTTCCCCCCAACTGGACTGCACCCTTATCTTTCCTTGAGTTTGAACTAGGGAAACATGCTCTTTCTAAAACGTGCAGCCCAATCTCATCCCATCGCTCTCCAGTTCTGACTTAGACTCAGAGGAGAGCTAAAACTGGTTTCCTAAAGTCTTAATTTGTAGGGATACAAACAGGAAATTGTTCTATTTTCTCTCATCATTGCCCCCCAGTCATGCTATGGCAAATTTCACTTTCTACCTCTTAAAGACAGTTCCAACTTTGTAGGTGGCCTTTTCAGTTATTAGGAAATGAAAAATCCTCAGTCCAGTTACAAACTTGAATTTTCTAGCAATATATAATTTTCCACTCCTTCCTGAAGACCAGGATTTTTTGTTTGTTTGTTTGTTTGTTTTTGCTGTAGGGCATTAGTGCCCACCAGACAGAAACAGAGAGAGAAAAAGAAATCATCTCTTAAGGGGATGACCACTCTGCAGTCCCTTCTCCTCCAGTCTCCTCTCCAGACTCTGGGTATGCCTTTCATGTGTGTGTACACATGCCTGGCATGTTTTCAAGGCACTAGGTCCAGGACTTGAACATGGAGTCAGCCATGTGGGATCCAGTCACCTTAACCACCATACCACCAACCTACCCAAAGACCAGGTTTTATGGTCCAAGATACCTGAAGTGAGGAAGGAGGTATCACCTGCTGCCTAGCTCCTCCTCCTTCATCTTGGAAGGCAAGGAAGGTGGGGTTTCTCTCGGTCACCTCCTCCTGGTCCTTTCCTCTCACACACACTGCTGTGTTGAGGCAGGGAAGAGGAAGAGGGAAATGGTGGTGTAACTTCATTGGTCATTGTGGGAGTCCTCTCTGTGGATGTCATTTCTTTTGCCAATCCTGTGAGGTAGTGTCCAAATGCTGTCTCTCCCATGATACCAAGTTTCAAGTCTATGAAGGGTCCTTTGGGATGCCCCATACTGTTGAGTATGAAGATGTAGTAGACCGGGAGTCTTCCCCTATCTCCACCATCACCAGTGTTGCTTGTTCTGGGTCTCTTTGCCCCTCAAAATGACTCAAGCCCAGCCACCTTCTGTGGGGATTGGCCTTCAAGAAAGCATCCTTCCGGGAACCAGCAGTTAGCGTAATGGCTATGTCGCTGGACTCCCACGTAGTTGACCGCGGTTCGTGTCCCAGACCCGGTGGCTTAAAACTCACGCTGGGCGTGTGTGCGTGCGTGCCCAAGATCCCGAGAGGAGAATGGAGGAGAAGGGATTGCGGTGTGACCATCCCCCCTGGGGGGTGATTTCTCGCGCACGCGCCCTACAGTGAAAATCTCTCAAAAAAAAAAAAAAAAAAAGAAAGCACCCTTCCCACCCACAGTAGG